ATCCTGCCATGTAGTGAAACGCTTCTTGGGAGGTGGCGGTCCCTCTGGCTCCGACGGCCGCCGCTTGTCTGTGCTAGACGAAGCAGCGGCGCCGCTGGCACCTTCATCGGCACCTGCCTCGCCCTGAGACGAGGGAGCCGTGCCTGTCCCGGCCGCGGCCCGCCCCTGTAGGGGTGCCGGGTGCGCCTCTTCCTTCTTGGTGGTAGCCCGCTTGGCCGCAGGCCCTTGACGCTCAGCGCTTCCGCTGCTCTCCTCGACGGCGCGCTTGAGGGAGGAGAGGGATTTAGCCTCAGCTGCCTCCTTTTCCTCCTTGGTCACTGGAGGAAGGCGGGTCGTGCCTCAGGAGCCGCAGCCGCGGCCTCCTGGGCCGAAGCAGCTATAGCTCTTCCTTGGCGCGTTCCGCCGCTCTCTCCCGTACCAAGCCTGCCTTCATGGACTCCGCGAGGCTAGGGATCCGGACCTCCGGACTCCCCGCCTCTTCTGGGGAAGTCACGTTGGCCGCAGGCGCAGCTGAGGAGGACGAAGCCTCCTGTGGGGCACCCGGAGGAGCAGGAGCCATTTCCTCATCCTCGGAGCGCATCGCCGGTGGAGCCTTTTTCTTAGGGCTGCTCACCTGGGGTTCCGCACCCCACCGAGGGTCGGGGGCTCCAGTCCTCTGGACACCCCCCTTTTCTCTAGGGAGTAGATCCGTTTCCAGTAGAGGGGGATCTATCTCCAGTTGGGTGTCAGTTTGCTTGGCCACGGGGTTCAGAACACCGGCGGCCAGCCTGTCTTCTCTGAGCCCAGGGAGAGACGTAACCAAGTCTTTGCTTTGAGGATCCTGTTCGGTTTTCAGAGGGCCACCTTAGGGGTCACGGGACCTAGTCTGAGGCTCTTTCTCTGCGTGTTTGACAAGTTTTCTATGGTGGTTTCCGGGGTACTTAAGGGATCAAAGAGCCTAGCAAGTCAAGTTGCAGGTGCCATATTTCGGCAGATTAGTCAATAAAGATAGCCTAGCCTATATTTACCGTGATTACGAAGCACCTGCTGAGGCCCGTGACCGTAGAATCTGAGATCTTGACCACTGCAGCACGAATGCCTAAACACACGGAAAACCACTGAAGCCTGAATCCTAATTACCAGGTTTTCCAGAGTCACCCTTTGCCATGTTTTAGGGTCCCCTGATTAACAGCGACTACCAGGGAAACTTGTACCCTGATTAACAAGGGGGCGCTGCAGAACCTGGCATAGACCTTACCCCAAGGGTCCAAGTACCCAATAATCATACACTCTCCAGAAACCTAACCTACATAACTACTATCCTGAAACCGAGTGCCTGATTATTGGGTCCTTTGGACCCTTCGGGTTATAGCCTTCAGCTCGAACTCTCCTAAGGGTCCTATGTACTGTTATGGGGACTACTTCCCGAAATCATAATAGTAATTCCTAATATAGAAACCCTACATTCTGCTGTAAAGGTACTTTGGACCCTTTGGGCTCTTAAGGATAACCCTACTTAGGGGATTTATAACGCCAACTATAACCTACTTACTAAGTCCCATGATCCTATAAGTAGCCTTCAGCTCGAACTCTCAAGTTGCAGGATGAGTTGGTCATGGAGACTCAGACACCGGCGCTCCTCGCCGTGTTGATGGACCACACAAGCATCACCCATGGTTTAGGGACCCAAAAAGCACAAAAGCATAAGCATGTTATGGGGATATCCCTACCTGAGTGGGCGTCATTATAAGGGGGTTTATATGGGATGTCACTATCCTAATTTTTGCTTATGTGTTTTTCTTGGGCCCTATAATGGTCGCACATGTAAGCTGATTCCCATTCCGGATTGCGTCCGACATCAGCACCCTAAACCCTAAATCCTGGACCCTTCAAGGGTGTAGGGATCAGAGCCAATGCCCTAAAACCTACACTTCAAACCCCTAACCCTAATGCCACAAGACCGCACTGTAAGCACCCAAAGTTGCAGGGCCTCACCTGTAGAACTGCATGCCGCTTCCTCAACTTTAGAATATTGATCTGAAGTTATCAATACTGGACTGGTGACTGCTTAGAAGCCTGGCATGTCGAGCATGACCCCTAGCAATAAGCAGTCCACCAGCAATCCGCATATCACCAGCACCACCAGCGTCAACGATGTCAGCAGCAATATTGGGATACTAGGATCAGTAGAAGGTATCCGTAAGATTATGAAAGCCCCTAAGCTAGATCCCTACGAGGGCTCCTTACCCAGACATCCAAAAGGATCCACAAAGTGGATCCCCAAATTGGTACCCTAGACTACTGAAGAGTTGTTTTATGGAACCCTCTAACCCAGACACCCGGGGAGGATCTAGAAAGTAGATTTGCTAATTTGGGGCCCTATACTACTAAGGGTACTTTATAGGAACAGCCCATAAAGGGACCTACTTTTCGGGGATCCTCGCAGGCTTCTGGGCAAGTAATTCCCAAGACTACCCAGGCCTTGTGTTCCTGTGCACGCAGAGCCGGTGCTCCTCGGATATGCTATGGCAGACCGATTCATGAAAGTTTTGTAAGGGTTGTTTAGGGTTTGCAGTAGGGGTTTACAGTTTCTGGAAGGGCTCTGGTTGAAGGGGTGCTGCGCAAGGGTTCTACGGTCTATACTAGGCCGACTGCCAAACGAAGGCAACGGTTTGACGTACTGGATTTCATCGAACACCGTGCGGTTTCTGTAGGGTCGTATGGGTTTAAGGGTGCTTATAGGAGTCTCATAACTATTCGTCTTGGTATTTTTTACAAGTTGTCGTGAAGGGTGGTATAAGGTGTGCACAAGCAATAAACGCAGGCGCATATGGCACGCGTCAAGGGTGTAGGAACAGGGCCTTGGACTTACTGATGAGTTTGGATGCAGAGCCCAGAGAGCCCAAAACCCCTTCATTAAGGAATATAGCTTAAATCATAATATGAATCCCCCTTATCATTTAAGGTATATTTTGTTTACTTAAGGGGGTATTGGGCTCTCTGGGAAGTATCGCCCCTGTCTCGACACCCCGAACTTTCATCCTCATGGTCCCCACATCCTTTAAGTACACAGGATGTACATGGCTCGGGATTTAGGCCTCAACCCCTCCCTAAGCCCTTATAGAACCTTTCATGAAGCACCTAGCGATCTCATGACTTTTCCTCTAAACCGACCACCTCAGGCCCTGTGTTCCTGTGCACGCGGAGCCTGTGCACCTCGGATATGCGATGGTTTAAAAAGACTGTAAAATAGTGTGGGATCTTGTGAGGGCTCTATAAGACTTGTATAAAGGGACCGATATCCATGCCGGGGTTTGACTTACAAGGGTTCAGAGTAGCCCCTAAACCCTAAACCCCATAGACTCTAAACTCTGATTGCCGAAACTTAAGTCGTTGTCAGCTCCCAGTACATGACCTCTGTTGATCAAGCTACGGCTACTGCAAGTCAGCAGGTCCTATTGTACGAGAATGCATGCCGCTGCGCATCTGGCTGGATACATGAGCCCCGGTGCTTTGCACGAGCAAAAGTAAATGCACCAATCAGGAAGAGTAGGATAGTGCCACTGCACAGTGTGTAAAGATTCGGGCTAACAATAATAACTATGACGACCATGAAGGTGAAGGCACTAGTAGCACTAATGGTAACACTGAGAACAGTGTAACAGTGTTATGTTGAAGCATAGTCATAGCAAGCATAGTAATGACTAGAGACAACACATGCATGCATCAACCGCGAAACCCGTCAAACCTAAACCTCGGAATCCCAGACCTCTAGACACCTGATCTCCTACACCCTCTGAACCCTGTTGCGCTTAATGTAGAACACTTATAGAGCCCGTACAGATCCCATGACCGACACCTGAACCCTTGGGCCTTTAAACCCAAAATCCTGAAATTAGCCCTAAACCCTATCCTACACCCTAAGCCCTTGAAATAGCCCTAAACGGACCATCTCAGGCCTTGTGTTCCGGTGCACGCAGATTGTCCGCCTCCGATCTCCTGCCCGCAGGATCCTGGTGCCAGCCTTGAAGCTTTAGAGACCCAAAAGGCTTAGGGTTTAGGGTTTCAGGGTTTAGCCTTGAAGCTATCTTTCCAGAGCTCTAGCTATCTGCCCACCCTGCTGTTTTTTATATATATATATATATATATATATATATATATATATCTATCTATGTGTCACTACCAGGGTTTCTATGGGTGGTTGTCAAAATTATGGCCCCTTTTTGGGTACCCTAAACATTAGGTGCCGTATTATAATAAGGACCCCAAAAAAGGGACCCTAATTTTGACAACCACCCCCATGGGTGTTTCCGAAAATTAGGGGTACTTTTTATCTTGGGAGTCTGCAGAGTCCTTGTAATAAGGATCCTACGGTCCCGTGTTTTCGGAACCTCCTATCTTTCCCGGGCGCTAATTATCTACCCACCTAGCTGTCTATCTATCTAGCTGTCTATCTAACTAATTACCTATCTACTACTTGTCTGTCTGACCCTCCGTCCGTCCTCCTGTCTATCTGTCTATCGATCTGTTTTCCTGCCTGTCTGTCTGTCCGTCTGTCATCGGTCTATCTATTGGTGTAGGATGCAAGAGTCGGGGGGGTGGTCTTGGTTTAGGATTGAGGGATTTGAGTGTAGTGTGCAGGGTTTTGGTTTAGGGTTTAGGTGTAGTTCAATGTAGGTTCTCTGTTTTTCCACCTACAGAACTCGAACATGCCTCCCAGCCTGTTTTTAGGGTTTTAGGGTTTTAGGGTTTAGGATGCGGGATTTGAGGGTTTGCGAAGCCTACTATGAGGGAGTATAGTGTGTGTATGGCTCATAGGCTTGGCGGTGAAGGGTGTTCTGTGCACCTGCTGGCGCACAGCATTCGTGGCTTGTGGGTTTAAGTCGACTAATGAGCTTTTGGATGTTTCGCCTCCTTGGTGATCTGAAGCGTTTTATGTTTGCGACCGAAGGTTAGCCTGGCCCAGGTGCCCTATGCCCAAGCCTACCCTCCACCCCCGAAGCCCAGGTGCGGACTACTGCATGGCAGATTTCGACCACTGGCAGACACTCTGGGACGATGAGCGGAAAGGCTACTGTTGCAGCTCGTCTCAGCAAGGAGTTCGCAAGGTTTTGATGAGCTTGCTTTCAATGAGGGCTTCGCAAAGCTTGGTGCGGTTCCGTCTTTGAGCAGCACACATTATTGAAGAGTAAACAGCACAAATTCTTGAAGAGTAAACCTTCACTGACATTCAAAAGCTTACACCGTGAACTTGCACTACACCTGTAAACCAAAACACCTGAATGCCTGCTTTTAACATAAGAACAATATGAGCGCAGCTTGACGAGTTTATTTCAACCAGCTTCCTAGAACGCGTCTTTTGGGACCCGAAACCCTGCTAGGTTTGAAATTGGACCTGTAGGACAGTATCAACTGTCAACGAGCGTAGTTCGATTGCAACCACTGTGTTATGCCAAGGTTCTGTTGCTTCAGCATTCATCAGAAGCCTACTTTGCACATCATCAGCAATGACGATTACTCGGCTATACTTTGGAATAGACCCTAAAGCTACTCTAAACCTCAAACCCCTAAACCTTAAACCCTAAACCCCTAAACCCCTGAACCCCTAAACCTCTAGACCCTTGATCTCGTGAACCCCTAGCAACCCTTCCATTTGCCATCGATCCTAGGTATATACTAAGTTCCTTGGTAACAGGAACCCAGAAAATCCTACAGTCGAGGCAATCGTTGCGGCCGCGCTTGCCCAGAGGCAATCGTCGCTGTCGTTCCAGCGCCTCCTCCGCCACCGCCGCCGCCGCCTCCGCTTCCGGCGCCACCGACGGAAGCGCCACCTGTTTCACCCAAGATTCAGGACGAATCAAATCCTTAAACCTGGATAATACCCAAAGCCTCAAACCCTAAACCCCACACCCTCAGCGCGAGGAGACTCAGTGGGAGGGTTGGGTCTAACATGTGTAAAAATAACCCACACCCCTAAAGCCTAAATCCCGAAACCCTAAACCTTGATTACACTGTTTTAACCCCAAAGGCTCTGGGCCTTCGAGTTCAGGATGTAGCTGCTACAGTAGAAGCCCAAAAGTTGGAAACCGCATAGCCTCAGTCCTTAACAGTAAAGAATAGGGAATCTCAGCACTATTTGGCCTTAATCCGGTTTCCAACTTTCTGGGGTTTACTGTAGGTTTCTGAGTGGTACCCTTCTGCCCTTTTGATTGTTAGGGTTCCCTTATTATTAAGGTCGAATAGTAGGACAAAAGTGTACCCTTGTTACAATAAGGCTCATCAGGAGCCTAGTTGCAGAGGTTTAGGGTTAAGGCTTCTTGAGAGACTTAGGGTTTAGGTTTTAGGGTTTCAGAAGTTTAAGATTAAGGTGTCTTGAGAAATTGCGGTTTAGGGTTTCAGAAGTTCAGAAGTTAGAGAGTAATAAGGTTTCTTGAGAAATTACGGTTTAGGGTTCAGGGTTTCAGAAGTTCAGAAGCTCAAGATTAAGGTTTCTCGAGAAAATATGGGCAGCTTAGCGTTCTCATGATTTGAAGGGGGAGGGCTGTAGGATACGATGGGGCATACAAGGGGGCCCTAAACCGTAAACCCCGAAACCTTCAAAGGGCTATGATATGGTTTTACACGTTTGGAGACCCTACCGAAGCTCAGGTACTTCGAGCCCGAGGAGACTCCTGGGAGCTAAGCCCTAGACCTAATAGGGGCCTAAAAGGTTACAAATACCCTGCTGGGGGTTCCTTCTTATTTTTATGGTATAATGGGCCCCAAACACTATTCTAATCATTAAGGCCCCTACGTTATTTCTACGCCGGGTTCGGGGCCTTATATTTATAGTATACCATCACCCAGCACCTTTTCTAATTCTTAAGGCCCCTATGTTAGACCCCAAACGCTAGCCACATCCCAGGCCGGTATTCGTCGCGGAGTTCAACTGCAACGCCGGCTTCAGAAACTTGACTTGGACTTAGGGTTAGGGTTCCTCTCTGGGTAAGGTTTGGACCAGTTTGGAGCTTGAGAGTCTTATGGTCGAGGATTTGGGGTTTAGGAATACAAAAGTGGGAGTTTCCGAAAATTAGGGCATTCACGGTACTATATTTGGCCCCCTATTTTCGGAAACTCCCAAGTCTTGTGAGGCCCTGCAACTGCAACATTAAAACCTTTTGGACATCCGGCAAGACCCTGAAACTCCTCTGCAGAACACTTTGGAAGCCAAGGAAATTGGTATTTCGGCTGGTCCCATTCGAAGAAGCACTGGCCTCTCGATGTGCAGATGTGGGCCTTTACATGAGGGGCGTGTTCAGCTTTATTCCCCGACCTTGGTGCTGGGTTGTTAGACCCCTAAACCCTAAACCGTGAATCTCAAACCCTAAACCCTAAATGACATCAAACTCAGCTCTTCTCCGGTCTAGTCCTCGCCCGGTCTGCACCGCAGTGCGCGCACCCCCAGGAGTGCCCCTGGAGAGCCGGGTCCCTGGCCCCCAAATTTCTGCTCAAACAAAAAAAAACTCTCTAGGGTGGGGACCTCGGATGGGTGTCCAGGAGTGTTCCTCCCCCGGACTTTTGGAGAGGTTGGGTGTGGGTTTCTGTAAGACTTCTGGAAGGGTTTTTAGGCCTTGTTCAGAACGGTTGAAGGTTCTTACGTTCTCAAGGGTTCTCAACTCAAGGGTGTTTCAGGGGGTCTTTAGTGTTTCTGTCTTAGACCCAGCAAAAGCCCAGACCCTTGGAAGATTCAGGTAAACTGCCATGTCTACAAACTCTGCAACTCCCAAATGCCAGCGCGCGAGCCTCTCCAATCAATCTCCGAATCAGCCGAGAAGTCGAGAACGAAACTGCTACCGAGGACGGTCGTCCCCTCAATCGGAGGCCTGAAAAGGTGGGATGAAGGTAGGTGGGATATTCCCAAATAGGAGTCCTTATATAAGGGATCCTTAATCCTACCTACCTTCATCCCACCTTTTGAGGCCTCCGACTCAAACTCCGCCCGCCAGCAGTCCGATGTCGGTGTACACCCGAATAACCTAATGGGCCTCGAATGATTAAAGGCTGTCTGCAGTCCGATAATGCTCGCAGCACCCTTCTAAGATGGCCCGCATAAACCCTAACACACACCCTAAACCCTAAACCCTAAACCCTAAGCCCCTAAACCCTAAACCCTAAACCCTAAGTTATGTATCTGGAACGAACAAGCTCCCAACCTTACTGACATACTCGAAGCAGGGAGTATGGAATGTCCCAACCGTTTAGATGGGGAAGATGCACTGGGCTCCCAAATACAACATGCTTTCTAAGATGAGGTGCTGCCAGCACTTCGACATGGGTTGCCCGGGTACGTGGAACGGGCCGGACCATCCAGAAGCGACAGGCTCTGGGGTTTAAGGGTTAGGGTTTAGGGTTCAGGGCTTTGGTTTTAGGGTTTAGGGGTTAGGGTTTAGGGTTTACGGTTTAGGGCTACTTTAAGGGTTTACCCCAAGGGTCCAAAGGACCCAATAATTAGGTACTGGGTTTTAGGATAGTAGGTCTGTAGGTTAGGAATTTGGTGAGTATATGATTACTAGGTACTTGGACCCTTGGGGTAGGGTTTAGACAGAATCAGCAAGACTGAAAGACTAGCAACACTTTTCTTCGGCTTCCTTCAGAACTCACGGGTTTCAAGGCACTTGGAGGCCCGGAAACAGATCGCAAGCTGTGTCATGAATACGGTAGCCCGGACTAGTAGTAGACGTAATTCCATACCCGCGACCTCGTTACCATGTCCCCTGCTGGTACGTGATTGGGTTTCATCTTCCTATATCGACTAGGTATATCTACTAGGTTTCTGCAACAGCACGCAATTCAGAACATCGCCGACGAGTAGGTTCATCTAATTATGTACAATTGCTGTAGAATGATACCCTCTAAACACCGACAATTGTCCGACAAAGACCCAACTTGCCAGGCAGAGACAGGGACTTTGACAGCGACTATGATGAGTGACGCACAGTCTGGCATGGTACAGTATTTGTGTGGTGTTCACAAAACATGCTTTCAGTGCCGCAGCAAACATGAAATTTGCAGCCTCATCAAAGTCCCCATCACTTCGATTATAAAATTATAGCATGTGTGGTTCCAAGCATCGGGTCCATGTACGGGTTACAATCGAGCCATGCATCATTAATGCAGGTTGTTGGGACGCCCAACCCTAAACCCTGAACCGTGTATCTGTTGATTATCCATGCAAGAGCCAGAACCGTAAAAACCAAGCGTAAGATAAAGAGCCGGTAGACCCGAAACCATTCGTGGCTGGCATTGTCCATCAGTGGGGTCGATCTCAGCAAGCGATATAAAGTCCAGTTTGTTGATTTAAGGTTTGGTTCAAAGTGTATCATGACGCAGTTCACTGGTTGTTCTGAACTCGGTTTTGTCTTCCTTGCGAAAAGAGGCAACCGTATAGAATTCACGGCCGGTGCCTGCGTGTAAGCTTGAAGAAACAGAGATTTTGTGAATAAGGTCTGTCCCATTGCAAGTGTTCACCCTAAGTCAAACCTTAAACCTCGACTCACAATGCACGATCACCTTAAGTCAGAAGAGCAGTCAATGTCCAAGCAACGAGAGAACCGTGCCTGGATCTGACTGAACTTGGCAAGCCTTGATCAGGCAGCACAAATTCCGAGATCCTCGCAATGCCTGAAACTTCCACTGAATCCACTGAATGCCATAAAGGGGCGATTTCGGACACCAGTTCCCCTTACTTCCACCAGACTCCAAGACTCCAAACCGAAATTTCCTTGAGCCTTGAATAAATTGTCAACCTCCAGAGCCCCCCAACCCCCCGAACCCCGAAATCCTGATACAACCGCTACAAAGCCCCCTGAGTTTCACGCTGACTGAGCTTGGAAGCCCGACAAAGTTCACAGGTCCAGGACATGCCGTAGACAGGTCCCCAGCCATGCGAAGTGGTTGGAGGAGTTGGCCGTGTTCCTCCCAGTGCCCTGAGGCTGCCGAGCCTTGTGCAGTTTACTGTAGCGGCCTTCATAATTAGAACCTGTTTTTTTGGGGGGTTCATTACACTACAACTATAATAAAGACCCCCCCAAGAAATGGTATTGGTAATCATCCAGGCACTATATTAGAAAGTTTATTGTAAGCCACAGGGGCTTCTTTACGGTTTTGTAGCGGCTTCATCCGACAACAGCACCTGTAGGTTGCTATGTAGGACAGTCACTGCATCCATGTTTCTCTTCGAAGCACAAGCTCTGAGCCCGGCACTGCCTCGGATGACGGCTTTTTAACAATCCGCAGAGGCTCCGGTAAGTAAAGGGTCGTTAATGACGGGAATGCTTCATGGGATTGTATACCACCACGTGATTTTTAGGGTTTCCGAGTGGGGGTTTGGCAAAGGGGCCTCAACAATCAGAACCCGAACTCGAAATACTGACCCCGAAACTCGAAAGCAGAAGACTCAGAGACTCCAATATCCCTTAATTAAGGAATATTCCTTAAATCATATAAGGGATCCTACTATAATTTAAGGTATATTCCTTAATTAAGGGGTTTTGGAGTCTCTGGGGACTCCCCCCCTTAACTTCAGTGCAAAATCCGGTAGATTCCCACGTGGACAAATTCCACTGGGCTCAACGCGGACAACCGAATTTTACCCTGAACCCTAAGCCCCTAGGATGCCGGATGCCCAGTAGTACCCTTATTCCCTTTTTGTAGTCCTAGGTTCCTTATAAAGTTACCCAATACCAAAAAAAGAGAGGCCCCTTTATTCTTAGGTTACTGGGTATCCTAGTCTCTAAACATAAAGAATCTTGAAACTGAACCCTGAACCTACCAGAAAGTTCACAGATGGACCGAATCTTGCGGCTGGAGTCGACTTTACTATTGTTCGGTATTGTATACCTGGACCCTGAACAGCGTACCTCGCCGATCCATGTCACTTCGCAGCACCCAAAACCTCAAACTTCTCCCAGAGACCCAAACAAAACATCAAGTCCTGGTCGAGCCTTAATCGAACCTATAAGAACCCATGACATGTGAAAGGAAGCCTAAGCCCCAAACCCCTGAGCCAGAATGGGACTTTTGCAAGAACCCATGAAATGCGAAATGAAGCCAACCTTAAACCCTAAACCCCTAAACCCTAAGCCCCTAAACCCTAAACCGCCTAAACCCCTAAACCCTAAACCCCTAAGCCCTAAACCCCTAAACCCGGATCCACACAAAAGGAACCGTTGACTTACAGGCCCTAAACCCTAGACCCTATATAGATCCCTTTAAGGAACCCTATAGATCCCTTTATAAGGAACCCTATATAGATCCCTTTAAGGAACCCTAAGTCCCATGATCCTCTAAGCACAGGAGCCTCTGAGACTGACACCGGGTCCTGTCAGAGCTTCAGGGCCCTTTTTGAGCGCCTCTTCAAAGAAGACTGGCCAAAAAGATCAGGGTTTAGGGTTTACGGGTTTAGGGTTTTTTTGGTTTGGGGTTTAGGGTTTAGGGTTTAGAGAATGGTATGAGGTTGTGCAATTCCTATCTATTGGAGTTTCCCAGGGAGAATCAGACTAATTGTGCCGTAAAAAACCTGCTGAGAGGATCATGGGACTTAGTAAAAAGGTTAATTATAATTGGGGTTATATGTCCCCTAAGTGGGGTTATCCTAATTATAACCTACTTATAACCTTACTTACTAGGTCCCATGAGCCTTTAAGTGAAGTCTAATCCCCTGAACCCCCTAAACCCCTAAACCCTAAACCCTAAACCCTAAACCCTGTGAAGTTTAATCCCCTGAACCCCTAAACCCATAAACGCTAAGCGGCTAGGCCCTGGAACTGCAGGGTTGGCGGTTCAGAGTCCCAAAGGCTCCATGTACCCTTCATAGTAGATACTTAGGGTTCCTTTAAGGGCTCCTATAGGGGATCCTAGGGTTCCTATAAGGGTACCATAAGGGTTAGGATCCAGGGTTGAAGGCTCCATGTACCCTCTATAGTAGATACTTAAGCCTTAAAGGGGTCCTTATATAGGTACTTGAAGGCTTAAGTATATACTATAAGGGTACATGGAGTCTTAGGGAGTCTGGACCTCACTCCACACCTGTGCGGAAAACTGCACAAGGGTCATTCTCTACATTAGGGTCGCTTGCTAGATGGCCATAAATAGCGCGGCGCCCTTGATTTTAGCATCCTAACCTGGAGAACTGCCCAGAACGATATACCGTTGAAACCCTTGAGAAGTCAAATCCCAAGCATTGAATCCACTAAGCGGTTCGGGGTTTCACTGGTTAGGGAACTTTAGGGTTTAATGTGTAGCCTGCACTCTAAGGCCCCCGCACCGAAGGAAAGCATTCCTCCAGCATGTGAGGTACAATTCCTGCTGAGATTGCGCTGCTTCCCAAGGCCTTGCTTTTGCTCTGCAGGGTTTGAAGTGTGAGGGTTTAGGGTTTGTATAGTTTAGGGTTTGGGTGTTCCTAGACCCGCCCCCCCCCCCAACTACCCTCTACTATACTGCGCAGCACTTTTGTAGGCTGTTAGCTCAGCTCCGGGGCTTTCGGGTTTTTGTTCAGTTCAGGGGTTCCTTTACCCTAAGAGAACATGTACCCACACCCATAATAGGCCCCATCTTAGTTCCTTTTCAAGGGATTACCTTATAGAGTTTTATGAATCCCAAAGAGGAACTACTATGGGGCCTATGGGTATAGTATATGCTTAAAGCCTTAAGGAGGTTCCTATATAGGTACTTCATGGCGTAGGTATATACGTTGTACGTACATGGAGCCTTTGGCATGGGTTTGATTTTTTAGGCATCTACGAAGGTTCTGTTTTATTTGTTGGGGATTCCGGTTTGGGGCGCAGAGTTTGAAGAACAGCCCTACGTCCTGAAGCCTCAAACGCAAACTCCTGAACCTTAAAACTCCTAAGCCCTAAAACCCCCAAAGCCACAAACGACCGGCCAACAAACGCAATAGAAACCAACATGTTCGGCCGTATGCTTCAACAACCTCATAAACAAAGAGAACCCTCATGACCACCGGAAAAACCATGTAAATCCCACCGAATTAAGACTTTCAAGAAGCGCTAAACTCATAGGGACCCTTAGGGGGGAGGGGGGTGGAGGACTATACTTCCTTACATAGGCCCTCCTATAAACCCCACCGCAAACCTTCTCAAGAAGCCCTAAACCCAAAACCATAAATAAACCCTAAACCCTAAACCCAAAACCATAAACCCCCAAAGGGTCCTATGTACTGTTATGGGGAATACTTCCCCAAATCATAATAGTAATTCCTAATATAGAAACCCTACATGCTACTGTATCTGTACTTTGGACCCTTGGGGACCATAAACCCTGAGAAGAAAAATTACACACAGCAGAAGCCCACATCTCCTCCTGTGCGCCCTTTC